ATATAAAATTAGAGCAAATGATAAAATATAATATAAAAATATAATATAAAAAATAAAATATCTGAACTTATTGTATTCAACTTTAATAAAAAGTAACTTATAAATAATTTGTAAAATATAATAATTTTCATCGTGAATTTAACATTATCGAAAAATCAGAATATTATATTCAATAATGTATATAATATTCTGATTTTTCTTTCATATAATTAATTACATATTTAAAGACTTATTATTTATTTTCAAGTTTTTAATTTTTATTTTTTATCTTTTCTAAGATTGATTTATTCTTTTAAAAGTTCTTTTTACTTCTTCAAATTTACCTGTTCAAGAGATACAGAACAGCAACTTTGTGGAATGCTTATTTGATGATCTAACCAGTCTTTGGATGATTTAATTCCACAGCATTTTAACTAAAACATTGGTAGTAAAATATGCAAAGAATATACAATTGAAAAATATAATGCTGTATAAAGTTCTTACATATCTATGAGTATTATCCCATGCTTTCATAGTCCAATCTAAAGATTGATAATTTTCCATAGAGTTGTTCATGTCATCTCGAATTTTTTTTGTAATCATATCGAAAAACGGAAAACTCATTGTCAGACATATAAATACAGTACAGAGAGCGATCGATTGGCATATTAAGTACTAAAAGATAAAATACACGGCATTATATAGAAGATAGACTATTTTCAAATTGCTCATTTTATGCTTAATTTTCCAAGTAGGCTGATATAATATTTTAAATCAGAAATTGCGTTTTCAAAAGATTTCTTTTTTGCTTTATTAATTCAACTTACAAAAATCATAAAATGATTTTTTTTCTTTGTGATTCCTATAATTCCAGTAAAAGCTACAAGAGACACAAACACTCCTAGAATTAATATAATAGTCATGAAAAGCTGTTGGCTGAGCAGTCTAGATGTAAAGTTTGCATCAGTCAACATCCAGATAGCTATTGTTATCGCCGTTACACCTGTGAGCTTAAATAAACTTTGTTTAATTAAATCATTCACTGTAAATTATATGTACTAAACTTCTCTATCCATTTACTAATACTCACAAGAACTATGCTGTTAAGCAATAAAAAAGAGAATTTGAGCCAGTTCTTCGACAGACATTTCGGCAGACAAAATAGTTCAGCCGTAGAAGTACTGATATTTTTGGAACTCTTTTCTGTCGAAATAGTTTCATCACTTTCAGTAACTAATTCGTCATCGTCTGTATCTGTTTCAATCTCGTTCTCATTTTCGTCACGCCCCATTAATACTCTCGGTTAAAATTTCCGTCAATTCATTAATTACGTATTCTAGTAAAATGCGTCACCTACAGAGTTGACTTATTATATCCTTTAAATTTGACATTTCGAGTCTAAAATCATTTTATGACAACGTTAATGTCAATCGGTAAGTTGAGCATTTACTATAAACTTTTCTTTAAATAGGTTTGATGAAAATATTAAAAATCTAGAAAAACAAAAAAAGGTAATTATACAGTTTAGAGGTCTCACTTCAAAAATCAATAAAATTAGGCTCATTCGACGCGTTTTTGCATGAAATGAAAGAATCTGGATTCAGAAAAAAGTGCCGCTTTGCTCTGCGAACCGAAATATTAAAGTTGACGATTATTGAGGTTAGGAAATCTGTCACAAAGATAAAATGAGGTCTATAATTGTACTATTTCACATGGGTTTTTGACGCGAAGCGACTCTCATCTCCCTCCCCTTTTGAGGAAAACTCAATCAAAAGCGTTAAAACGTTTGTCAATTTTTTTGAAAATTACGACATCACACACATGTCTAGCTCATGTATTAGCTCGCATTAAGTACATCTATCCTTGAAAATAAAAATTGTTATATTTTTATATCAAAAAGATACCATATTTTCATTCGTTTTCTAAATATGAATTTACTTTTTGAGATATCTTCAAGACATCTAAAAGAAGTGTTCAAGACATCAAAAGAAATTTTTAAGACATTTAGAAAATATCTTTAAGACATCTTAAAGAGAGACATCTTTTATATCTAAAAACATCTTCCTTATATCTAAAGATATCTAAAAAACATCTTTTAGATAATTTAAAAATGTTTTTTAGAATTCTACGAGATGTCTTTAAGATATCTTTAAGATATCTCTAGATATCTGAAAGATATCTTAAACTGTTGTCTAAAATGTTTTAGGTCCCTAAAAGATATATATTATTGAAGATATATATTATTAGATATATTTTTGAAATTATAATTATTGATTATTGAAATTATGATTATTGAAATTATAATTATGCTTCGGATAGAATGGGATTTGCAGAAAAGGATTGGAACATATCTGGAACCCTCTAAATATTAGGATATATCGAAATTTCCGTGTAACAAATACGACTTGAATAATCTGGAATTCCAATACTTCAGATATAACGAGATTTGCAGAAGGATTGCCATGGAACATATCGGGAACTACAAATATTGGGACACGTAATTTCCATTCAGCAAATTCGATTTGAATGATTTGGAATTCCAAATATGGTTCGAACAGAACGGAATTTGCAGACAAGAGTCAGTATGGAACATATCTGATGGAACATCCATATGTAATTTGGATATAACAGAATTTCCAATGCAAGAAACCACATTTGACCAGGTATGTTTAAATATACGGACATATTTGGAATTTTTAGCAGAGAATGTATTGCTAATATTGGCGAAATATTGGAGATCCAAATGAATGGCCAAGAAATTATGGATACGCGTAGTCGACATTTCGGACTTGTTCAATACTTTCATTCCTATATTTCGCACGATATTGTGATATTTCAGATTGCAAATTCATTCAGTAACAGAATTTTTTTGCAAATTTGTTTTAGGATTAATTTTATTGATACCAACCTAGTGAAAAAGTTTTGTTATTTAAATTTGTATTGGCCGTCATATTTTTGGGCACGGTACCAGCTGAAAGATTTAAGTAAGAAAATCTTTCTTCCTAATTAATATAAACGCATACCCATTATCTTATATTCTTTTAAAATATACTAACTACATGGTTTGCTCATTTTTTCTTTCCATATTTGAATACTACAAAAAGTTCGTCTTTTAACATCATCTGTAAGATGTTTAATTTTTTTAATATTGAGTGATTGAACACTACTTTGTGTATATTTTCAAAATATACACAAAGTAAAATATTTGTAGTAGTTACAATATTTGTACTTATTATTCATTACATTGCTTTATTATCATCTTATTGTCATCAATATAAAAATAATTTTTACAATATTTTGTTGCTCTAATTCTGTAGCCATTTTTTTAGGGTGTGATCAACGCGATGTTGCAAACGTTTTGAAACGTTTTTTAATTGGTCAGTTTGTAAAATTCTTCTAATTGATCCATCAAATGCATTCGTAGCGAGATTTTGACCATAGCCTTATTTACGTAAAGAATAGCTGCTGTTACAAATAAATTATATAAAATAAAAAAATATTACTAGTTCTATATTTAAAAATAATACTAATATCAGAGAGAAACCTGAAAGAGAACATGACGGCCGAAAACTTGTAATCGCAAAATGCTTGTGGCTACGTGTGATGCTGTGCCCAATGTGACGCCGAGCGTGTCTGGGCGCTGACGTGCTAATAGCGAAAAAAAAATTGGCGGGAAATCATTAAGTTCACAAAGAAATGTTACTCATTGTTTCTGACTCACAGGCCATAAGACGGTTTAATATAAACTCAAATAAATATTTGAAACGTATAGATCGAAAAAGTAGACACGTAATTACGACAGCTTTAGATATCGATCGCATTATTAGGTTAGAATATGAGAAACTCAAAAATCACAATACAAGCGTTTATCTGACAGCGCGAGTAATTACCTAACATGAGCAGTAATCGATGCCGATTTCGCAATGAACATAAAGTGATGATTTACCGAGCACTAACTTAAAATCTATCGCCGAAGCGAAAGATCCGCAGAACGCCACATCAAAGAGAGAGGGAAAAGAAAATCGGAAAAAAGAACCGGACTCGAACGCCGAAACTAATGCTTGCAACGCCACATACGGGAGTTATTTAGAATTATCTAGGATGCGATTCCGTAAGGGACTCTGCACAATAAAAGGAATAGAGAACAGAGAATAAGAATTTCAACCTATCAGAAATGTATTATGGAATACATAGTTTTTGATAGATTGAAATTCTTGTTCTCCGTTTCCTGTTTCTTTTATTGTGCGGAGTCCCTTATGCCCAGGGGCGAGATTCTGTAAGGGGCTCCGCACAATAAAAGAAACAGGGAACAGAACAGAGAATAAGAATTTCAACCTATCAGAAACTATGTATTCCACAATACATGATTTCTAATAGGTTAAAATTTTTATTCTCTGTTCCTTTTATTGTGCGGAGCCCCTAATTTCTAAATACAGCCATTGCGGTTTTCCATCAGTAAATATCTAGTAATTTTTAGTGGAATTTACGAATGCGAATGAAAATAAATCTGAAATTTGACATCTTTATTCAAATAAGTTTATGGCTTTAATTTTCATATATTTTCACTGAATTTGCCGAATGTCGCGTACCAGTCACAACTGCACAAAATTTTATCCAGTTTATTTAAAAAAAGGAATACATGGCTCAAAATAGGACAGTGTAAGTATTTATTCGAGATATATTTTAGATAAAAAATAAATAAAAATAAATAAAAAATAAAAATAAATAAATTATCCTTTATGGAAGAATATTATTGAACTCGTGAAAAATCGATTGGAAATAATTAGAAAACCGTTTAAGAGAGAATCTAATATTGTATACTATTCTAATAGTTTTTTCACTAATTCAATAATACATATTTTCTCACAAGAAGAAAACATAAAATAATTGTTTATTATATTTTATACTTTTATAGCAAGAAAACACGAAGTTCTCGAACAACACAACTGCAATATACCAAAATGTTGGATTTTTTAAATTTAAATAAAGGTATAATATTAAGATAAATATAATATAAAGGTAAAATACTTTTACTTAAATATAGGTTATCTGTTTCCATTTTAAATGAAGGTCTTGCTGAAGGAAAATACAGTTCTTTACATGGAAAAGAAGAGACACAAAAAAAGTGGACAGAGCTAGCTGCAAAATTAAATTATGTTCAAGGGATGACAAAAACTGCCGAACAGTGGCAAGTGGTATATGCGTAATATATTATATTTAGAAGCTCTCCAAATTATCTCCATATCATTCATTATTAGAATATCAAAATATCTTAAACATTGCAGTTTATTTTATCAAGGCAATGAGCAGCCTTAGTAATATCAGGCATCTCTTGATAAAATGAAATACAATTTTCTCAAAATATTAGTATTTTAATAATAAATTTGGACACGGAGATAATTCGCAAAATGCACATATGCTATTTGTCAGACTTGAAACTCAGTTGTAAACTGTATTTCAAGACATAAACATTCAGCGTTTCATCAGTGTCTTTGAGCTAGAAATCATAGATAAGATTCATGCAAAAATATTAAGTACCAACATCCACTGATCATATATGGTCTTTCTTATATTGTTTTAATATATTACAGATTTTCATATAATGTTTCAAAAATAAAATGAAAAATAATTCTATATATTTAGGTTTGGAGAGACTTGAAAAGTCGTACTTCTGTGAAAGTACGCGATTTGAGAAAGGCTAAGGATAATAGGAAACAAATTCAAACAACCTGCAGAATTGTCAGAAATAGAACTGCGGGTTATTGAATTAATTCGGCTTGGATATTGAAGGGAGTAAGGATTGCGCTGAAAATATTCTAAATGAAGAGGTACACACATACACACGCACACGCGCGCGCGCGCGCACACACATTTATATATATATTCAATTTATGCCGAAATTATAACATCTGATGTTATAATTATTATTGATATTAGATGCCGTGTAAAATATAGTACAAAATATAGTACTTCCCACGTCCTAAAGACATTTAGAAGACATCCTTTGTCCCAAGAATATCCTCAAGATTTCCCACAGATTAATTGTGCTATATAGAAACACTATTTTACGACAAAGTTACTATATCGATGTATAACAACTTCGTCGTAAAATAGCGTTTACATAGCATTTAACGTCAGTTATAATCGAATGTTATAACTTCTTATCGATGTGAATTGAACCAATGTAAACCTAGTAAATGAAATATAATTGACTAATATAACATATGCTTTTTTCCATATTTATAGTCTTTACAAAATAAACCGTTTTGTGGAAATTCCACGATATTGGTAGATATCCCACAAGTAACAAATGTTTGCAATATCCTTCCACAAGAAAACTTGCAAGAAGATCTGCTTCAAATACATACTTCAAACAAAAATGAAGGTAATCATTTTTATTATATTATAAATTAATATTGAAATAAAAAATGAACATATTATATAAACACTTTATATAATTATTTTTATTGTATTAATTTAAAAATAATTATTGATTATGTCCAATATTAAGAAATTTTATTTTAGACCGCATGTGAGAACATAATCAATATTAGAAATAAAGGCCTACAATGGTCAAAGCTGAATCTTTTAACGCTTAAAATAATTCAATTTTGAATTATTATATATATTGTATATGTACTTGCATATATATCATATTTGTAGTGTTTCGAACTGTGCGCCAAATTATTTTTCTGGATATATAAACACAATTAAACTACTTTAATCGTTTTAAATTAAATTGACAAGCAATTTTAATAATTTGGTGCTCAGGCATTATATTATAAGGATATTAATATGTTGAAAAATTAATAAAAATTAATAAATTTATTATATCCAAGTCAGAGCGAAAGACATAACTATGATTACATTTACATGGTCCTTAATCGGGTTTCATAATATTCATAGTTAGAAATTAACTAATCACGGTCATTCCATTCTTCAGAGTCTATAGAAAGTCTATAGAAACTTAGAAGAGCAAACGAAGAGAAAAATTCCATATATACTTCCTGCTTCCACACCATCGGATCTACCGATTACTACTCACAGTAATTTATCGCCTTTTTTGAGAAGATGTAGTAAGGGTATGAATAATATTATATAATAATATAATAATATTATATAATTGTACGAAAATAAAAAAATTCTATTTTCGATTTTCGTACATTACAAAATTTTTTATAGTATTTTAATTATGGATATTTATAATGATTTATAAAATTGTAGCAAATCATAGCGACAATCTACTGAGCAGCTTTATTCGAGGGAGCAGTTTGAATGTATTGCTAAGAAGCAAGCATGCTATGATGGTAAGAGAAAAATCTAAAAAATTGGATTAGAATTGAAATTTATAATTCTTTTGAGTTATATGATACAACTATGTTATAATATTCTCAAATATTACAGATACTTGCCGAGGCATCGAAAGTTCATGCAGAAGCAGCTAGGATGAATGCCCTTGCAATGACAGAAATGGCTAAAACTGCTACAAAATTGGCAAAAAATGCAGAGTTGCAAAATGTAAATGAGACAGATAGGATACGAGTAATAGAGAAAGACAGAAGTATTGGAAAATTTATTGTCAATATACAGCTATATTCATTAAGAGGTAAGAAATGTCATAGTTTGCTATAAATTATGTGAAAGTCATACAATATTATCTAATAAATTTCATTTAATTTCAGATCACATACAAGTATTGGAAGTAGGATGACAGGAGTGTTTGGGTAAAACTTAACATTTAAATTATTACGCAAGATAACGTAATTTTGTATAATGTTTGAAAGAGAATTAAATAATCACTACTTTAGTTGGAAGAGAAAATGTCTCTGAATTGTGATTAAATAATTACTTTAGAGTTTGTACAAAATAAGATATAATATATTAAATTTTTATTTATATTTATATTATTATATATTTATATATAATATTTATA